GTGGCCGGGAGCGGCCACTGCACTCCAGTCTGGGTGACAGAGTGAGACTCCAACTCAAAAAAAATAAAAATAAAAATAAATAAAAGGGGCTTACAGTTGTGGACACATATCTGTTATAACACAGAAGTGTCTCTCCCAAGGACCTGAGAACTATTCCTTTCTAATATAATTACCCGGAAGGTTAGGACTCTGCCTTCCAGTCTCTCTGGGAAGGTAGAATCCTAACTTCCATATCTGCCAACTCACAACACATCTAGCCTGATAGCATTTACACAGACCAACTCTTTGTAATTTCTCACTTCTCTGACTCTGCTAAGCCCCTGCTCACCACTCTTCTTCATGAACTCTTTTAAATGGCCAAATCACCTCTGCACAAATCGAAATGGAGTTCAGCTCTTTTCCTGATGGTCAGCTCTTTCCCTGATGGTCAGTTGCTGAGTAAAATCTGTTTTCACTGCTTTAACTAATGTCCACTGTTTCTATTTGATTCCCCCAAGCCCAGTCCATGTGTCAGCCACTCTGATGATTTCCTTCGTTCTTACCAGCTATTTCCCTTGTTTTGGAGCCTAGATTGGATCATGCTTTGAATAGATCCCTGATCCAAAACTTCAGGGTCACTACTCATCTGACTTAAAGTGATACTGATGCTTTTTGGGCGCTAAAGCTATCTCTATCAGGCCCAGAGATTTGGACCCCATCCCAGATCCCAGATCAGTGTGACAGAGGTACTGGTTGCCTACTTACTATCTTTCTCCCCTTTATTCTTAACAAGAATACCTTAGAGGCAAAAATGCATTTAGCTAAAAAACAAAAAACAAAAAACCCTACATTTTCCCAGCATCCCTTGCAGATAGAATGGCTATTGAGATAGAAGGCAGAGAGCATTATGTAGCGCTTCTGTGAAGTTCTTTAAAGAAAACCAATTTTGCTGGCTGGTCCCTTTTAACCACTTTTTCTTCATCCTTCTGTGAAGATCAACCTTATAGCTAGGCTTATTGCTCCAGCCTTGCTTCTAGGAGTTCCAGATTTCTTACCCTTTTTTAAAAACCAGAATTAACAAAATGGAAATACTTTCCTAAGAGTAATATTTTTATATTGAAAACTCTCACATTTTGCTATGAAAGTTTGGTTTTGAGTCTATCCTCTAATTTTTATACTGAATCATAACACATTTTGCACAATAAAACTCTCCAATTACTTTTGCATCAGTGTAAGTGAATTTGAACTACAGGAGTTTTTGAAGTGTTGTTGATGTTGGCAAGAGTTCTTGAAAGAAGACTAGATTATGGCTGTTAAAACCAGAAAAGTTTTTGGAGACCATGAAAGACTCCTTTTACGGATAAATGTTCTGACACAGAAAAGTAAAAGAATTTGTCCAAGGTAAAAAAAAATGGCAGTCAAATTTCAAACTCAAGTCTCTAGGTCTGTTTCTTTTCTTCCAAGATCTGAGTCACAGCAGAGACTGCAAGGTAGTTGGACATATGGAGAAGTTATTTGTCCTTTAGAAGAGAAGTGTTTGAATGGTTCTAGTAGATTCCCATAAGGTAACCAAGATCGACCAGTTGGTTCAAATTCACTTCCAAGTTCTAGAGACTGACGCCAGGACTGTGGAAATGTTGTGCTCAGGTAGACTGAGCATCACAAACATTCAATTTTATGCTTGTCTGGTTGTTTGGGGGTAACCCTTAGTTATTGAAAGGAATTAGGTGGAGGACTTAGATTTAGTAATAACTGGTGGAGTGCCTGCTCTCTTGAGAATGGAGACATGTGGAGGATTCTGAAACGCTGCCATCTTCTGGTCTTTTGGAAACACTAAAAAATACATTTTAGCCCTGGAACAAGTATTAAAATTATTTCAGAATAAAGGAAACTCTAGGTAAGGAAATAAAAGAAAGAAAGAGAATGTTTTGAACTCTTTTGTTTCTCCCAATATAAAGGCCTGAAGATAACTCAAATACCAAATGCAAGTTCTGCTCTACTGGGCTAAACCCATTAAAACAAACTTTAACTTCGACTGTCAGAGCACCATGAAACAGTGAATTTTGGCTTTTGAATTGGCTCACTTTACTTTTTCAAATTTATATGCTATTCCTTTTTTTATACCTAAATCACAAACATTATAGAAGAACTTCTATTATTCAGGAAACTTGTTTCTGTTAGATCTCATTTTCTTTTCCTGAATTATTTTGAATGAACACTTTTTTCAATTAACAGGTTATTCTAAATTCTTATATATAATAATTTAGTTATATCAAGAAGTCATTATCTTAGATAACCCAAAAGGCCACAAATAAATGGCATTTACCAATTAGCTAAATGTTTCTCTGTGGTGTTACACACTGTTATGTAAGAGGGGTGAGGTGGGCATGTTTTTCAAATCTTTTTTTTTTTACAGTTTTAAAACAAAGTTTCTTAGAGAAAGAAGAGAGAAAAGAAAGGGAGATATGCTAGAGCTGGCATGGGCAAGAGAAACCGCACTATTTTCAAGTCTTTTACCTAAAATTGCTTTTAATTTCAACATCTGCTCAGAATTCCCATTGTCTTATAAGAGATGGTATCCATCTCTGCTTATAATCTTCATTTGGTCAAAGACCTATTTTCTGTTACTATTTCATAAATAATTTTTGTAGCTTTAACTAGCACTTAGCATTCAGCTTAAAGTCACTTTTCTTCAGAATATTTTTCAAGCCTTACAAATCCAGGCTCACTCACAATAGATACTGCTGCACATAATAACTTTTTGTCTTTGTTCTTTAAATTCTTTGAAGCTGGCCATTGCCTTACTAGACTCTGGTGTGGCCATGTGCTCTTTGAGCTATGGCTATTGCCATGCTTCCTAACTTTGGCCCCCTCCCCTACCTTAGGGAGGTGAATCTCCTTTTTCTCTCTAGTTTGCTTTTTAAGTAAACTATATTTTGTAATCTTAAAAAATTTTCCTTGATGGTATCTCCTCTCGTGGAGGAATGCAATCCCTTGTTTCCACTTGCTTTCCTGCATGTATGCATGTGCATGTTGTGTGCCTGCATATTAATACAAATATGCACATGTATATGTATGAATGTTTTGATTGTTTCCTTTGAGTGTGTGTTTCTGGCTCCTTGGATCCAAATAAAGAGAAATGCACTTGACATCTGGTAAAACCCTATACTGTAATCCACTGTAACAGGTGTATCAATTTGATATAAAAGTCCTCTTTTTTTGTGTGTATGGCTGCAAATTATAAGAGGAGAGAAGGCAAAGGCAAATATGAGACAAGGTATTAGAAATCATGGGATGGTGGCCCTCACAGTCATTCAAACTTCTGCTTGTTTAAAATCTGTACTATAATCTTCTCTTGGTCCAAGACCTATTTTGTCTAAGAATGGCCATTGTGCATAATGGACCACAAAACCTCTCTATTTTCTGCAGAAGTACTGATATGCCATAGTGTCCAATCATGAGGAACATCTATTTCCAGCAGCCAAATCTCTCCACAAAGCTGGGGTTGCTCAGGCCCAAGTCCATCTCTTGACATGTGGCTGGAGAAATAGAAAGAATTCTGGTCTACACTTAGGGTCACCTCTGGAATTGGCCCAGATGTAATCTTCTGTCCCTGTTCTAAACAATGTCCTTACCTTTCATCTGGTTCTTGGTTCCTGTGCCTGTTTTCCTATCACTGACTCTTACCCTTCCCAGTCTGTCTTCCTGCCCAAAGCTGCAATCCTTCAAACTGCTAATATGCTCCAGGTACCAGATGTTCACTTGCTCTTTCAATCCCCAGAGCAATGCTCCTACGAATCCATAAGGACACCCCCAATACCTTACAAACCTCCACCCTCTCTCACACTAATGGTCTTACTGTGCTGAGCTATTGGCACTTGAATGCCATGGTTTGCCTGATGGATTAGATGCCCTACTGGCACCTGTAGTTAGGCCCACACGTTAGCTGCTCTTGACCCTGGCAACTCCTTTGTCTGTACTGACTTGTCATAGGTACCCTATCAAATAACCTCATTAGGCAGGACATCTTTTCAGTTTGTGCCATGGGAGGCTATGTTAATCTTTGTTTTTTCACTTGTGATCACATCACTGACTAAATGGTTGTCTAATTGAGTACCAAGATACAGATGTTGTCATAGATACCTGATTATAATATTAAGGGATAAATTAAGTGATAGTGCTTCCCAAAGACAATTTGGTGCAACAGACTTCTAGTTTCTTAGTCTGTGGATACATGTGTGTTATTTCTCTTCTTAATGCAGTCAATAAATGATTTATATCGTTTTAAGGAGTGGTGCAATAAACAGAAACCAGATAGTATCTTATGGAATAAATATCTGCAGAATTTACACTAAAATGTATGACATTGGATATATCTAGAATGGCCATTGTGCATAATGGACCACAACACCTCTCTATTTCTTCTGGAGTTTTAAACATAATTTTGTTATTTTTAACAAAATGTAAGGTAAAGATGACTTAATTTTTGTATATCTTTGTAAAACTTGTCTTAAAATATAAATTAGAAAAATAATTCTTTTTTAAGAATATGTATTCTATAGTAGACCAACAACCTGGTTTTTATATGGAAAGTGGAGTACCTAATTCTAGGATTTAATATTTTTTCCCATACAGTCTCTCTTTCATCCCTCTAACATTTTTCCTATATGAACGATGTAATCAAGTAAATGTTTACTTCCTTAGACTTGAGTTTTTCAACCTTGACACTATTGACACTTCAAGCCAAATAATTCTTTGTCTTGGTGGCTGTTCTGTATATTTTATAATGGTTAGCAGCATACCTGGCCTCTACCCACTTGTTGCCAGTAGCAACCACTCCCTCCCAGTTGTAACAACTAAAATTGCCTCCAAACATTGCCAAATGTCACCTGGGAGGGTGGGGAGTGGGAAATTATCCCCATTTAAAAACCATTGCCTTAAAGCATTGACAATCCTTCAAAAAATAATGATGATGATGATGATGATGGTAACGGTAATAATGATGATCCTACTATTCTACAGGATTTGAACTGAGGTCTTTTGGTACTCCAGAAGGACCCCAGCTATACATTATCCTTTATTCTTTTCTTCACTGAAGGTAACATTTTAGGTACATTCCTGGAAGTGTGATCTCAGTGCCTAAACGAAACTCCCTTACTAATTCAACCTTCGTAATGGTTCATTTAAAAACATTCCAAATGCCTGGGAGTCTTGCAACTTGAAAAAATAATGTGGTAAATTATTTAATCTTTCATGTAATCATTTTCTTTGTTTATGTTACATTTATGTCAATCTCTGTATGTTGAAAGGCCAAGTAGTAATTTGCTTGTCTTTCAAATAATCACTTTCTAACATTAGTACTATACTTACATAGATTTAGATATTACAAATTTGGATACTTCTTTTCCTGGAGTACATTGTCTAAGAATTTAATGTTACCAAAATTTGAATTTGAATTTGGACTTACCACTTAGTAGTTAGGAGACTTTGAGGAAATTATTTAAACTCTCTCAGTTATAGTTTCTAATCTATAAGAGCGGATCTGGCACATATTAGAAACCCAATAAATATTTATGGAATGAATGAAAAAGAAGGTTAAATGACAGAATGTAAAGTGGCTAGCGTAGGCACTCACTCAATTTGTGGAATTAAAAGAATGTGAAGGTAGCCAAACTGGCTAAACAGTAGATACTCAGTAAATCATAGTTCCTCTTCACTCTCTTTTTAAATAGCTGCAATTCTACAGTATATGTGCCAGCTCCTTCTACTCCAACTTTTAACTCACTATATGTGTAGTTGAGTGTGTGATGGTCTTAATTTTTTAATCAATGGCTATCTTTGAAGGCCTAGATCATTTCTCACTTTGAGAACCACTAAAAGGGGGCAGTAGAAAGACTCATTATATACTTGTTGAGTCATCAAGGGCTGAAGAAGTCTGGGTCATTTAGTTCTCAGTAACCCCAATGTCCACTTTAAACAGGCTCAGAAAAAGTAGACCCAAAGTCCTTCTATTTGACAGAAGCTCTAGATTCAAAATCTGAGCAATTATACTATAGTAACAAAAATCAGTGACAAGAGTAACACCCACACAATGAGCATTGCCTAGAGTTTTCCATGTGCTAAATGTCACAGTGGGCTGAGTGCTTTACAAGCTTCATCTTATTTAATCCTAAAACAATCCTGTGTCAGTGGTATGAATAGTCATCCTATTTTACAAAACAGGTTTGGAGAGATTAAGTTTGGAGAGATTAAGTCCATGGTTTGTGCGAGATTATACAGCTAAGTGAATTAAAGACACAGAATGTCTAAACTAGACTGAACTAGAGATGAGGTACAGATACATTAATGCTTACAACCATAGACATATGGATTTATTGTTCTATACCTCAGTTTTCCCTTCTGTAAAATGGGGATTAATGGTAAAATTTGCCTTCTTTGTGTCAAAGACTACTGATTGATTCTTATTTATCCAATTAAGAAGAAATGTATAAGACTATAGCATAAACCATAAGGCACTCTACAAATGTTATTCATTATTTAAAATAGAAAGGTTTCCCTGAGATCTTGCATCTAGAAAGGAAGGCTGAACACTATCACTGAGGTGTTTATCGTTGGCGCATTCTACTTCTGCAGAAGTAAACACTTACAGAACACAGCTCTCTCACTGTCGTGTCCTGAAGGACTTTCAAAGTCTTCATGAACTGGGCTTCTGGATGGTCAATATGTGAGTACAGGCAGTGCCTACAGACTGAGGGCACAGGGCCAGGGCTTTGTCTCTCTCTATGGCAGTGGGGATGGTGATGACAGCAGATACAGTAGTGGGAAGGTGCAGTGTGGTAGGTACCCGCTGGGTAAAAACTAGGGAAGCCTGTGTCTAGAGAGACAGATTTGGTGAGAGGATGGAGTCCAGGTGCCAACAAGTTCTTGTTACATGGAGCTGAACAGAAATGCCAGGGCCTGGGCTCACATACAGAAGTCTGAATGGAAGCATCATTGAACTGTCTTGCTTCTGTTCCCAGTCTTGGTCCTGTTGGGGTAACAGGGTCACAGATAGTACATTCTAAAGATGTTCCTCTAGCATCAGTCTCTGATGCCACAGTACTCTGGGCAGCTGGCAGCAGCTTGGAGGACATCTGGGTGGTCACAGACCGGGAGCTGCCAGCATTTGGAGGAAAGTTTTCTGTCTCAGTTTCCATTCTAGGTGATACTTGACCCAAAGCACTACACCTTGGCTTCACCTGGAGCCTGTCTCCAGGTAGTTTATGGAGGTTGGAAATGAACTTTTCAGATATTTGAACAAGGTCACCTGCATAGGGAATGACTTTATTGTGTTTGGGGACACACTGTGGTGAACTTTCTTGGACCAGGAAGGTGTTGTCAGTGTCAGGATGGAGTCTGCTGATCTCTTCATCTCTTGGGGCCTCAGGGTCAACAGGAAGGAGCTTGTCTTGAGCACAGTCACTTCCAAGTGACCTTTGAGACTCACAATGGTGGCTTTGCACATGTACTTTTCCAGCTCCCTCAGGCTTCAGAAATTTGTCCTTTGTTTCTGTGATGTGGGTTACCACAAATTCCAGTGGATGATCATATTTTGAAGTGACTGTGGCTCCGATGACCTCATCTTCAGTGTGAGGCATTGGCAGAAGCTGCTGCAGAGGACCATCTATTCTTGGGTGTTCTCCCTCACTGGTGGTCTTGGCAAAGGCCATATCTGGTATCAACAACTCTGGTAGCCCCTCCATGACCTCAAGCCGAGACTCTTCCTCTACTAGAGATGTTGAGGACTTTTCTTGCAAGACACTCCAGTCTTGGCTTGAAAACGATGTGCTCATCATACTCTTGGAATCGGACTCATCTGACTCTTGCTGACAGTCCTGGGATAATGCCGAGCTGTGGCTGTAGTCCCTTAGTAGTCTACCTCCATTCTCAACAGGGCTCTGATTGTTTGTCAAGAAAGGCATCTGTAGGAGAAACCAGGACAAAGGGAAACAAGTCAGGAAGTGGGGGGAGTGATAGATTTCAGAATCGTTTTCTTCTCATTACCATTGACTTAGGAGTTAGGAGGTAAGGGTTACAAACTCAGGTTATACATCAGTTTACTTCTTTACCTTGAACTTCCTCTCTATGGGCTCAGCTTCTTTCTTCAGAACAGAAATGCCAGAAATACCATTTTTCTTTTCCTTCAGAAATATCAAAAGAAAATACAAAAGGAGGGAAGGCTGAGCTTTCTAGCACCTTGTCCAATGTGACACTATTATACTCTGCCCCTTGAGTGCATGTGGTATGTGTCTTCTTAGCCTTTCCCACTGTGGCAGGCATTTTAAACTTATCCCTCTTTCTGAGTTAGGCATGAGTGAAGTTAGCGTAGCAGGTTGATGAGGCTGAAGTGGACCATGAGGGATGAGCAGTAGGGTCCTATTCCAACCTCTCCTACCTGGAGGGGCAGTGGTTCCAGTGGCTCCTCCAGGAACCCACTGCTGTCAGATTGACAGCTGTTTGCTCTGTCCACCCTGGCACCTGTGGAAGGAAGGAGGCCTTGAGGTTACTAAAGTGAAAACATGCTGCCAGCAGGACTGGAACCAAACCTTCTAGGTGCCTGGCCTGCTGCACATCCTCCATAAATACCCACTGTGTGGAAGTATAAGCAAATTAGGGAATTCCAGGGACCTCTTTTTTCTCAATTGTCAGAGAATTCACATAAAACTGTACTGCTGGTTTCCTGAGACAAGGTGTGAAACATAAAACAAAGGAAGGGGAACTAATACCTCTTAAAGCTGAATAGCAATACGGTTTTGAGATGAATCTTTATTAAAAGGAAGACAATCCAGAAGGAAACACATATGTTTTAAATACCACACTAACACAACAATAAAAGATCAACACTTTTATATATATGTGTGTGTGTGTATATGTATTCTTATTCTTTTTACTAAATGTTTGATAATACCACTTACTAGCTTCAGCTGGATCATTTATATAACTACAAGTCCATGTTCATGTTTTAGACTGATGCTCTTGATATGAGATGCTGGAACAGGCTGAGAAAAAAGCAATGTTATGTGTGGGGAGGCCATGGCTTTGTAAACAAGAGCATCTTGAAATTCTAACTCAACTTGTAGCTTCTAATGTAAATGTTAGACTATATATTGTGGGGTGGGGGAAATGGGTGGCTACCAGAGGGACACCCTGCTAAAAAATTAAATTATGGGATTTTTGTTCTCCTCTTGTTAGTACTGAGAAATGCTTTCAGCCCACCACAGTATAGGCTAGAATAGGAAATCTCTCAGGAGGGGCTTGGAACGTAGACTTCTTAGAATAAAAGGAGCAGAGAAGAAAACAGCCTTGTTTGTCTGGGGAAAAAAGACTGGGCATAGGTCTGGGAAGTAGGTTAAATAGAAAAAGCTGGTTGTTGAAGAAATAATTCATGGTAGCGCGCACCTGTAGTTCTGGCTACACGGAAGGCTGAGGTGGAAGGATTGCCGGAGCCCAGCAGGTGGAGGCTGCGGTGGCTGGGAGCGGCCACTGCACTCCAGTTTGAGCGACGGAGTGAGACTCCAACTCAAAAAAAAAAAAAAAAAAAAAAAAAGAAATAATGCCTGGATATCTGTTACCTAAGTAAGAAATAAATGGCTGGGTACAGTGGCTCAAGCCTGTAATCCCAGCACTTTGGGAGACTGAGGAGAGGGGATTGCCTGAGCCCATGGGTTTGAGAACAGCCTGGGCAACTTGGCAAGACCTCATCTCTACAAAAAATAAAAAAATTAGTTGGGCATGGTAGTGCGTGCCTGTAGTTCCAGTTCCTTGGAAGGCTGAGGTGGAAGAATCGCCTGAGCCCCACAAGTCAACGCTGGGGTAGCCATGAGCATACCACTGCACTCCAGCCTGGGCAATGGAGTGAGACTCCAACTCAAAAAAGAAAAAAGAAAAAGAAATAGATGATTTGCTCTTGTTCAAACATTTCACTGCTGAAGAAGAGTTCAAGGGTGTAGGGGGAGATCTTAGCCTCTGTTTAGCTCTTCTAGACCCAAACTTGAAGTACTGTTCCCCTTACAAGAGCAGCAGCGCCCATCTCTCCATGGGACTGGCTCCCACCAGTCAACTATCCATGTGTCTGAGCAAAGATGGCAAGTAGAGGTACAGTCCCAGAGGTGATCCACCCAGCCCAAACCCCAACTACCTCACCCTAAGGTCAAAGTCAAGAGAAAGACACTCGGTTTTGTAGAACTAAAACTACAAACCCCTTATTCTTTAATCCAGCCTGAAACAAAATTAAAAACTAAAAATCAGAAGACATGCAGTTTTAATAGCTGAATCCTAAAGATATTGAGAGACTCTGAGCAAAATTTTAGGAAAACAATGTCTTTACCAAGTCATTGCCTCTTGTCACATAGTTAAGGCTAAAATATGGAAAATATTTGCTAGTCGTAGACCTAAATGAGACTTCTGTTTCTGAAAACCCAGAGTAATAGGAGCTAGATTTTTCCTCCCACGTGAAACAACTTAAAAACTAGACAAGATATGTGAAAAAAATGGTTTTCAAGATAATAGACATCAGAGATTAAAGACAACAATCCCTGAGAGATGGGAACAAATGATGTGAACCCTGTGTTACCCAGCTTACTGCCTTGAGAGTACATAGGTGTTGGCACAAGAAGGGGGAACCCAGGCAGAGCCTGACTGACTCCTAAAGTTAAAGAAGTGGAGCTAGGAAGACTGAGCCAGCTAGAGTCTGCAGGACAGAGTAGGGGAGAGGAGGAAGGTGAACAGAGAGCACTCTAGACGGTCTATCTTTAGTATTCAGCTGAGCACTGACCAGCTCGTACATGTGAGAAAACACCCAAGACTGGGGAAATAACCATCAGAAAACCTCAGAGGAAACTAGTTACAACACACAACCAGGGTTTGAAATAGGGAATGTTCCCACCAGTCAGCCTGCAAAGCCTCATAAATCATAGGACACTAGGCAGTAGAGTGCTCAGAAGGGTCTTCCCTCAGGAGCAAGGATTCATTAGCCCTAGGAAGACCACTGCTCTAGTCCCACCTAACAAGTCTTAAAATCAAGACCTGAAATGATCAAACTGTTTCCCAGTAATTTAATTGTGTTGCAGACCTAAGCTCAAGACTATTTATAGAAGTACAGTAATATCTCACACCACCCAAATGTCTGCCATCTAATAAAAAATATTGGTGGGCTGGGCATGGTAGCTCAAGCCTGTAATCCCAGCGCTTTAGGAGACCAAGGCGAGAGGATTGCCTGAGCCCAGTAGGTCAAGGCTGTGGTGGCCATGAGTGAAACTCCGACTCAAAAAAAAAAAAAAAATATATATACACACACACACACACACACACACACACACATATTGGTTATGCAAAGAAGCAGGAAAATATCACCCAATGTCAGAAGAAAAATCAATCAATTGAAACCAATCTAGAACTGATGTATATGTTAGAATTATTACAAGGGCATTAAAACACTTATTATGACTATATTCCATTGTTCAAGAAGCTAGAGGAAAGTGAAATATGTTAAGTGACATATGCAAGATATTTAAAAATTTGGATTTCTAGAGATGAAAACCACAATGTCTCTGGTAAAATTTAGGCTGGATTGGATGAATTAACAGAAGATTAGAAATTACCAAAGAAAATATTAGTGCCATGAAGATACAGCCATAGAAGCTATGCCAAATGAAACACAGAAATTGAAAAAAGAGAATTTAAAAAGTTAAAAGTGCATCAGTGAGCTATGGAACAACTCCAAGTATCCTAAAATACTCCAAAGAGAAAACACCAAAGAGGAAGGGGGAACATTTGAATAAATATTTCAAAGAAACATTTGTTTCAAGAAGTCCAACAAACTCCACGCACCAAAAACATGAAGAAAACTACACTAAGACACATCAAAACCAAATTGTCCAGTACCAATGATTTTAAAAAAAAAAGTAAAATCATTCAGAGAAAAAAGAGCATTACATATAGAGTTAGCAAAGATAAGAATGGTAGATTTCTCATTGGGAATAAACCAAGAGAGAAGATAGTTGAGTAACATCTTTAGAGTACTGAAATTTAAAAAATCATGTGAGTATAAATTAAATATTATCTAAATCTTTTAAAAAGAAAATTGACTGTTAAAAAAAAATAAGCTTGCAGTGTGAAGTTTATAACAAAAGTCTAGAGGAATCTACAAAAAATAAATACCTGTTCTTATAAAATTGAGTAGCTCCTAGGGAAGAAGCTGCCTGAGAGATTTTCCTTTAAGTTTCATATGCAACTTTTATGGAGCCTTTAACCTGAGTAATAGAGTAATTGTTTACTTGTTGTCATAAGAAATAGTGTATACTCATTGTAAATATAGGAAATTTACTTGTGTACTATCTAACTTGTGTAATATTTACACAAGAAAGTTTAATTGTGCAATATTTAAGACTTCACTGCTCTTGTTATAATTAGCTCAATCCATATTAAAACTCTGTAGATTATTTTCGAGTTAGGAAAAATATCACCCATTTCCCCCCTTATATCAACAGTGGGAACAAAATAAACGATGATTATGATAATAACCTTTGAAAAAGTTCAGTGCAGAATTTTCATTATTTTTTTTCTGGTTACTTTGGCTGAAGCCCCTCCACTGAGTAACTCTGTTGAGTGGGTATCCTCAAGAATTTTCCAATTCTTGTAATTCATGTAATTCGGGGCCCACTGCAGCCTGCTGCTACTCCAGATGCCCTCTGTAGTAGACAAATCATGTGGCTAGGAGAGAGCTAGACCAGATTAACTTCCATTCCTCACTCCCACCACCAGACTATATAAGCATTAGAGAACCTAAAGATATTTAACAGAAGGAGTTGAGTCTTGAAGCATAGACAAGACAGACTTTGAAACCCTTAGTTCTTTTTACATGTTTTGGTGCAAGATTTGAATTGCAAACTATGAAGGACTCCTGGTACATCACTATTATTTCAGCTTTCCAAATAATCTCTAAACAATTACTATTCTGGAATATATGCTTCATATACAATGGTTGCTATTTCCCTTCTTACAATGCTTGGATGTTATGTTAGAATCCTCAAACACTTGATGCTTGATATGTTAGAACACTAGAGCAAAATGATATGTTAGAGCTCATTTGTCCATGTGCTGTCTGGTCCAAATGAAAATAAACAACCACAAACATAAGGGTCCCTAAAAGATAGAAAGAGTAATTCCCTCTAAAAGGATTATATTTGTGATATGACTGGTGTCTTTTGTTAATTGCACTTGTGAAAAGCACAAACAAACAAATCTCTAAGCTCATTTAAATGAATTTATCAAACAAGACTTTGAGAATCTCCCTATGAGAATGAGATCAAACGGTGGAATTGGGCATAGTTCTTTCAGGAGTCGAGGCTTATTTATCTTGTGTTTGTTTGAGAAGTCAAATGCGTGCATCTGAATCATTGTGAGAGACTCACCAAGTAAACTGTGAGAGTAATTTACCAATGGCTTAGTTTCTTCAAGAGACTAAAATC